GGCCAGGAGATTTTAGCACAGGCATGACCTCAATGTGATGCTGCTTTAAAAAACCTCAAGGCAAGCTGAAAAACCAAAAGCCAGAACTAAAGGTGTCCGAGTCCCCCCAGACTGAGGGCAGGAAGTCACAACAGCCACTCCAGCACTTCCTACAAGATGGAACACATGGAGCATAAATGCTTTATTCATTAAGTTGGCTGCTTCAAACCTATTACAACCCCATGCCAGTCACTCATGTGGGTAGTGGGGCTTGGCTGGGTGGCTCCAGGTCTGCATCTCTTCCTCTCTGGTCACATCCTAAATCTGGGTCTGCAGCTACGTCTCTTCCCAGACCCCACATTTCATGCAGAGTAGCAGCTGCCCATTCCAGGGATCATTCCACGTTGTATTGAGACATGACTAACGAAACCAAACCCAGTGGTCACACCAATCAAACTGAGCTGTCAGTCAATCCCTATTCCTATCTTAAAAATAAAATACAAACACTTTGTTTTTCAAGGCAAGCCCACAGCTTCTCTGATGATTTGCATTTGTGTTTCCTATTCTCACAGAGAAGGAGAAACTGTTTCCTCTGGTGCACAGCTCTGAACACATGAACAAAACCCGAGATGAAATCCAGGAACATCATTCCTGAACATGTTTCACAGATCACAGGCAAATTGCTCAGCAAGTCTGGCTACTTCTTCCAAAAAGGGAACAGCCTATGTTTGGAAAACCAGTAAACAGAAAAACCGCTAAATTTGGAACATTTACCTGTGAACAGTTTGGTGGCAGAGTATTTTTAGCTCTCAGGACAGAGTGTTAATGGCACACCTCTCCTGTTCCAAGGGCACGGCTGTGACCAGCGAGGCTATTCCCAGCATCCAACAGGTGTGGGTCAGCATCTGCTGCCACCAGGGCTTCACATGCACTGCCTCTTCTGTTCAGTCCCCACTGCCCTCTTGACACGAGGGGCTGCTGAACAAACCAAAGCAAATCACCATTTCTTTTTAAAGTTCTAACACTCAGCACATTGTGGAATAAAAGTGGCAGCACAGCAGCGTAAATGTGTTCCTCTGGTGGCAGTGGTGACACACCAAAGGGGTTTCTGGTAAGCTAAAACACATGCATCTTAAAAACAAATACAAGTTTGTGCAATGTAATAGGAGAGTAAATATATTAAACAATCAAATAATATATTAAGAGAATAGCAGAAAAGTGAAAAGACATGACAAAGTAAGAACACCCTGAAATTATCACCGTTCAATGAGAAAAAACCTCACAGAGAAGATGATGAGAAAAATGTTAACAGTGATGAAAAACAATTGCTCAATATAATCCTCAACCTTAATCTGTCCTTGGGCATAGGGAGATGTACACAATCCCCTAGTACAACCTTTATACATTGGTGCATACCTTTCAATAATCACATACATTTCACTACAAGCAGAAATAACACTTCCAGACACAGCCCCCCCAAGCCATAAAATCTGTTATGAACTCACCCCTTGCCTAACAACGCACATCAAAGCTTTTTTCCATGCAAAACTGGCCTTTTTTAATGAGGAATGGACAGTAAAAAATGTGTCTGGGATTAACAATACATGAAAAAGAAATAAAATTGGACAAAAGAGAAAAAAACCTGACTGCTTAAATATATATAGAATTGATCTATGTCACTCTGATCAAGCTGTTGAATAAGTTGGGGTCTACTGGGCGTAAGAATTTTTATTATGTCTTTCTTTTTTAAAAAAAAAAACATGTAATCTCTCTGAAACCCTTTTTTCATTACAGGAAAAGCCTCCAAAGGTCCAGCTGTAACTGCTGCGACGTTGTATTCGTGTTCATTAGAAAAACAAATTCACAGCAGATCATTTTAAGAGTAATAATAAAAGGCTGACAAACGAAAACCACATGTGGGTGGTGGGGGAAAAGAACCCAGCAGTGGGGGAAACAGGCTCCAAACCAGGCTCTGCAGGACACGGATCCCAATGGATCACACTCCCCTCGGTGTGGAGCTGCAGCTCCAACACTTGGTTCTCCACACAAGTGGTATCTGGTCAGAACAATCCAACATGAGATGGTTTCTCAGGTTTAAAGCAAAAGAAGGCAACTGGATTTTCACATTTCACACCTCTAGGCCAGATTCCTGCTGGTTTCACTTGGGAAAACTGCCATGAGCCTCAGCAGAGGTAAGGGTCCAACGTGCTGGCAAATTCCCCAGCTCCATCAGCTGGGAACAGGAGCAGCCCACAGCAGGAGCCGATACACCAGGAAAGCCCTTGTGGCTCCACAGGGCTCCTACCATGGAGCACAGGCCTGCTCTCATCAGGAGTTTCCAGGCACCACAGGAAAGAGCCTGCACTGCTCTCCTGCCCAACCTCAGCTGAGCCCAGGGCAGCTAGTGGCTCCTTGCCCTGACAGGTCACCTGTCTGGCCCCTGGGGCTCCAGCACTTCCAGAGGTATTCCTAGACCCTAGGGAAAGGGCAATCGGGAAGCCTGTAGCCACAGACACCAGCCTGGGCAGGATTTAGTCGCTGACTCATGGCTAATGGGCAATGATAAACTGTTGTACTGGTTGTTCACTTGTGCCCAGATCAGATGACTAAGGAATTTAGGTGCCTATAGAGATTAACAGGCTAAATAACTTTTGCAGTCTGACCCTTAAACATCTGCATAAACACACTTTCTCCTCTGTGTTCCATGAAGGATGTCCACGCACTTCTTGCTAATGAAATACAATTATTTTGCAGGTGATCCAACTACAAATATTTCATCCCGTAACTGACCCACATGAAAAATAAATCCTTAGTCAGGTGACGTAATGCAAACGAGCAATCCAGGCCCATCCAATAAAGGGGGTTTAGCCAATTCCATTTTATAGATGATGAAGGAAAAAGAAAACATCTTTCATGAAATGGTTTGTACTCCCACTCCCCAGGGGCTCTTGGAGCAGCACACAGCAGTACCCTGGTCTCCATGTATGCAGCAAGAGGGTTTTGCTCCTCTCTGCCCCACTCCTGTGTGCAGGCAGGGCTCAGTGACACACAGCAATTCCAAAAGCTGCAGGATCCGTGCCACCACCAAGATGAAACAGCATCTCTAACGCTTTTTGCCACATGGCTGCTGCAAGCTCCTATTTATCCCAAAATGCTGCATCCTGCTTTAGTGAGTGTCATTTGCTGCACTTAACCTGCATTACAGAAAAACCCAAAGCGGGTTCTGTTCCAGAACCTGACATCCATAATTCCACACTTATGTTCCTGAAGTAACAAAATACACATGAAGTAACAAAATATTCCCTATTTTCTTGCCTCTTCAGCACTAGTTGTGACACATGAGCCAGCCCCTCGTCCCTCCTCACAGCCCTACAACCACTGCTAAGTCATGGAGGCATCACTACAGCCATTTCTGTTCTCCTCAGAAACACGGAGGGGAAAAAAAAAAAAAAAAAAAAGCTCAAGGATAAGAACAATTCTTTAAAAATCACATCCCACTGCCATCACCCACCTTCCCAGCCCTTTATCCCATTCCATTTTCACTCCTGTCTCTCTCTCCAGAGCCTTCTGAGCATATGCAAGTCCTTCCTCCAGCGGAGCTTTCCTGCAATGGCCTGAGGAATCACAGCCTCCCCTGACATTTCCACACGGCTGCTATCTCTCGGAATAAATTCCTCTCCCTGCCCTGCCTCTGTAACCCCGGCTCCGGGGAGGATTGTTCCCCAAGATGCCTGTCAGCACGATGCCGGGCTGCGGGAATTCCAGCCCTTTTCCCGAACAGTTCAATAATCAGGTTTCATAATGCTGGTATCCTGTCAATAGAGGTCGAAGGATGAGCCGAACGCTCCGGATCTTGACAGTTTGTGTTTATTCCCTCTCCCTGCAATCCTGATCTGGAACATTTAGCGTTTCTACCTACACAACAATACAGAGCACAACGTAGAAACACAGATCACTACTCACCTTTAAACAAGAATGCAATTTCATTCACGATTAAGACATCAACATCACAAATTCAATGCTCACTCTAGTTCTGTATCATCACTCCAAAAGGAAAAACATCAGCTGCTGAATGAAACGTCAGCCCCGGTTGCCATGAACAAGGGTTTTTCAGAGCTGCTGCAGTCTCACAGTCTCTAGCACAAGTCTGCCATATTTTTTTTTGTTAAATCAGGCCTGTACCCACCTAACAGCCAGAGCCAGCCCCGACACAACCGAACCAAGCCCACGCATTGTGCCGCTAACTGCGGGCACCGCGGCACCCGCGGCGATGGCCGCGCCCGGACCGCAGCCCCGCACCCGGAGCTCGGCGGGCTCAGCGCGGCGCTCCCGCACACAAAGCCCCGCAGCGGGCCCGGCTGACAGCGCGCCGCGACCCCCGCGCCGCCCCCCGCGCCCCGCCCCGACCAAGAAAAATAAAGGAGGAATTACATCCGTCTAGCAAGGAATACCGCAGGAGCAGCAGCCGAGCCGGGCTCTCCGCACCGCACCGCGCGGGGCGTGCGGCTGCGCGGCGGAGGCGGCACCGCGGGCGGGGAGGGAGGGAAGGGGAGGGAGGGAAAGGGGCGGTGGCCGCCGCTGCCCCCGGGGACGGGCCGGGGCCGCCGCAGGGCAGGGCAGGGTAGGGCGGGGCGGGGCCGTTCTGACAGCGCCGAGCCCGCTCCGCGCCGATCGGGGCTGCGGAGAGGCTGCGGGCGCCGCCCGCGCTGCGCACACGCACCCGGGAATTGGGACCGCTCCCCATCCCCGCTCCCGGCTCCCCGCTCCGGCGGCGGCCCTGCGGCGCGGGGGGCTCGGCACGGCCCGCAGCGCCCGGGCGCATCCTCACCTGCTCCTCTGCTCCTGCTCCTCCTGCTGCTGCTGCGGCGGCTCCGCGCTGTGCGGAGGGAGCAGCGGTACCCGCAGCCCCGCGCGGCGCTGCGTGAGCTCCGCGAGCCCCGCCCGGCGCGGAGCGGAGCGGAGCGGGGGGCGCGGGGGGCGGGGACAGCGCGGGAGGAGCCCCCGCCCCGGCGCATCCTCACCTGCTCCTCTGCTCCTGCTCCTCCTGCTGCTGCTGCTGCTCGGGCCTGCCCTGTGCTCACGCCAGGTCTTCCCCCTCCGCCGGCCCTCGCTCGCAGCCCTCCGTGGGTGTTATCCAGCCACTCCCGGCTCCCCTTCCCTTCTCTTACATTTATTTGGTTATTGGGTCTCTCCAGCCTCCTTGCTCCTCCTCCTCTGACACTCTCTCCTATCGCAAAGACAATATTGGCTCGCCCCCAGCATCCATTTCCTCTAGCGCTGCTCTCCCTCCCGCTGCTCTGTCATTCCTAGTGGAAATCCCATCCCGAGTTTGACTTCCTCCACTGCAGTCATCCTCTCCCGCTGCTCCAGTCCTGCCACCTTCCCACGTAAACAGCCTCCCTTTGTCAGTGCAACCCAACCCCTGGAACCCAGGTCCAGCTGCCTTTGTGCCACACTTTCCCTTTTTCTCCATTCTTAGGGAAGATTTTTGTCTGTCTTTCCAGAAAAAACTGCCGTCCCACAGCCTATGTGCCTCTCCTCCTTTCCCCTCTTCCACAGCCAAGGTCAGAGGCAGACACTGCTGCTTCAGGTTTCCTTTGCTAATCCTGGCCTCCCTGTCCTCACCCTCCTCATGCCCATGCTCCTTTCCTCCTGTCCACTCTCCCTCAGCTCTCACTTGCAATACAGCTATGGATCAGTGCTATCCATGTCTTTTATCAAAATATCAACAAACCACTCTTGGATTCATTTGGCTCCTTGGTTATCACTCCCTTTTCTCCTGCTCTTCATCCCCGCACTCATTGCTATTTAACTGCTGTCTGGAGTTCCTCTCCTCTGCATATCTTAAACTCCCTCATATCTGGCTCCTGCCCCTGCACACTCTGCTGCTTTGCCAAAATTTCCAATATCCACTTCCTGGCATAATCTCTGGAATATTGCTTCATTTCCAGCCTGTCAAAATTATCAGCCTGGCTCTTTTGGGTATTTAGTTCTCCTTTGGCTTCCAAGACTGCCCTGCCAGACTACCTCCTGCAGTGCATCCTCCTCCCAGTTTCCAGACTCCCAATTCCTAGATTCCCAGATTCCCAATTCCCAAGACCTCCAAGGGACTAAGCTCCTTAAACTTGGGCCCCTGGCATTCAGAGAGTCTATTTAAAATGTTCTGTCACCATGAAGCCTACAAGATTCTTGATAAGATCTAAGAACATACTTTCATGCTTGTCACTTGTGCTGGTTCATATCCAGACATTGGGATGCAGTAAAAATGTGTGCATATAGATACAAATTTTTAAAAATATATTCAAATGCTAGGATGTTAAGAAGCATCTTAAAAAATCATCCTTCACTCAATTATTAATATCCATCAAGCAAGTTGGAAGGGACAAAAGCCTGCAATGTCTGGGAGTGAGCAAGAGCACACAGTGTATTTTAGGATTCCTTAGCCCCCATAGCTCAAAGATGGGTGGGCCATGGATTCCCATGGAAATAACTGGGTAGGAATGAATGCCTGGAGAAGCAAGAACCAGAATAGCAGGGGGCACTGTGGGCTCCAACCAGTTATCCCAGTTACTGACAGACATTTTCTCCTTTTTAAAGAGGTGGCATTTGGTAAAGAACAGGGCAGGTACAAGTGCTTTGCTGCTGATAGTTCACAGCAGCATTCCCAGGTTTGACAGAGAGGATGCTCACTTAATTTTAAAAACTACTGCACCAATTTGTTTGCATTTTCAGCATGAACCTTCCACTTGCAGAGTTAGAAAGCCAAAGCCTACAGCCTGGTGACAATTCAGCAGGGAATACCCACAAGGTAAACGAGCAGCACTTCCTAAAGTCAGTGAGCAAAGGCAGTCAGACAAACAGGTTGTTCCCACTGACGTCCACATTCCCGCTGCTTTAATCAAACTGAAAGGACTGGATGAATGGCCATGACAGAAACTGTTGTTAAATGAAGTGGAAAGGGGCAGCAACAATGTTGGGACAACTCACTCCCCTTCAGCACTGTTACTTTGTAGTTAGTTTGGCTCTGAAGCTCAAGGCTTTTTCCCTCACACATTTTGTCCAGGCAAATACAGATTTCTTCAGAGGTGAAGCAATATTTAAGCTTGGGGTTTTTTCTTTCTTTTTGAAAATATACCAAGGCACCACACTCGGTATTATTGTTTGATGCTCATCCCACAGAAATAGATCCATGTGCACATTGACGCCTTCACCAATGGGAAAACACTGCACAGGTGTATTCAGGTAATCATATTCCAACCTCTCTGAAAGATAATTTAAAAATAAATCCTAGTTTAAATAACCTAATGCATCATTCAAAATAAAATGAATCAAAATTGGAATCATAGAATGGTTTAGGTTGGAAAAATCCTGTAAGATCCTTGAGTCCAACCATTAACCCAGCACTGCCAAGGCCACCACTAAACCATGTCCCCAAGGCCTACATTTGAATTTGTAAAAGGGTACTTCCAAGCAGATACAAAAGCAGCACATCTAGATGAGCTATTAAGAGCCACAATTGTTAAGGCAATACTAAAACTCAAAAAAAATCTACTGAAGGATGGTGTCAATTTCCAAGAACACAATAAAAATGCACACCAAGAAATTCACACTGTAATAAAAAACTCCCTCACCGTTCCATTAGACTGGAACAGTCTCCTGTTATCAGACAGTTCCAGTTCCACAGGTTCCCAGCATGACTGAGATCCATTCCCCCCACCAGACACACCTTTCCTCCACCTGTAACTCCTGGTTGCAGACATACACCGGGGCTCCAAGGCACAAATCCAGACTGGAGCTTTGTCTCGTGGCAGACTTGGCCAAGCTCTTGAGAAGAAAATCAAAGATGGGCAAGAATGTGCCCAGAGGAAAAACTCAGCTCCCTCACTGTGTGTAGCATGTCTGGAAGCAGGATGGCTCCTCTTCACAAACATTTCCTCACAGAACCCTATTTCTCCTCAGCACCTTGGTTACGCCCAGCTCAGGGTTACACCCTTACCTTCAGGAACACGTAGCAATGCATTCCCAGAATGGATTTACTGGGATATTCCTGTTTCCCAACAGTCACTGAAAACATAAAAGTGCCTGATCCTCAGTCCTTACTTTGTCTTTTCTCTGTGACCAGCTCAGGAGGCTGAACTGCCCAAAATTCTGCACCAGGGAATAAACACTCATCCAGGCACCCCCATGCAGTAGCCACAGGGAAAAGTTTGTGTGACACAGCAAGGGGCTTCACTGGGAGAAACAAAGACCAGGGACATGCAGAGCATTTGTAACTCTAATCTCAGGTTGCACATCAGAGGTCTGGCAGTACTCTCTTGCTGAGAAAGTCTTATTTTTCTAAGTGCTCCCCAACTCTCTGTGCCTACCCTGTCCCCACAGCATCCATTCTTAGCTGTTTTCTCTCCACCAGCAGCTCCTGTGAGCTCCAGGCCTATTTCTCCACGTGCCCAACATCCCCAGCCCTGGAAAATGACTCAACCACAGGGCACTTACAAAAGTTTGGCCTTGGCCTCAGCCAGCTGCTGTCTCCTTCCCACGCCACCGGAGTCAGCACTGGAAATGCTGACAGTGTGAAGACAAGATGGCTTTCCTGCTCTCCCTGCCAGCATCACAGCAATCTCCAGTGGCCAGGAGGAGTCCTGGCAGGAATCCCTGTGGAAGGACAGGAAGCATTAGTGAGAGCTGGCAGGGGCTCAGGGCCAGAGTACCACAACATCCCCTGCAGACCTTCCCATTGTGTTCAAGGCAGTACATTAAAAAATGAAATAAATATCTTGGGACCTGCTCTTGTGTCCTGTGGGCTCCACACGGAAGAAATCCAAACACAGAGGATGTCTATGACTGCAAAGGAAGTTTCTTGGCCCTTCAAAGCCCCTTTTGTGGTGCAGCAGTTTCAGGCTTAGTGCCTCAAAGGTGTTGATGCAGCAAGGTTTCCTCACCCAAAGAGAAATGGGGAGGAAATTTGACCAAAATCCTTAGCATTTATCTGTCCCACAAAAACCTGCACAAAACTCTGCAAAAAACTTCCCCCCTTGTTACTAAACATTTTCCTCTTTCCTTGTGTTTCCACAGTTTTACTCCTCCATTTCCTCCAGATGCATCAGAAATGCACCTAATTAGAAATTTAGTGTTTTTAAAATGAAAGAGAATAGTTTTAGATTAGATATTAGATATTAGGGAGAAATTCTGTGATGGTGGTGAGGCCCTGGCAGAGCTTGCCCAGAGAAGCTGTGGCTGCCTCATCCCTGAAGTGTCCAAGGCCAGGCTGGACAGGGCTTGGAGCAACCTGGGGTAGTGGAAGGTGTCCCTGCCATGGCAGAGGATGGAACTGCATGGGTTTTTAGGTCCTTTCCAACCCAAACCGTTCCATGATTCTATGAAAAATACATATCAGCCCATGTAATTTGACAAAACAAAGCTGTCAGGTGCAGCTGGTCCATTAAGTACTACAAGGAAAAAAGTTAAATTCTCAGCCCTCTCCCAGATTTTATTCATTTTCCTGACAACCTGCTTACTTTTCCTATAGAAACTGAAGCTTTCAGATCAGGTTAAGATATCAGCACATATTCTAAGAACCCACCAGCACAAAACAAATTTTTAAATGCTATCTGTGGGGATTACCTTGCTCTGGTAATGCTGGGCTTTAACTGCTGGGGCTCTGATTCCTTGTTCAGTCCCATGCAGCTGGGCCACGTGCAGGATGTGTCTGACATCAGTGGAGTCTCATCCAGGTGCAGTCATCTGCTCTCTCTGCCTTAATGCTGCCACACAGATGGATGAACGGATCCCCAGAGAGGCACATGAACAGGAATTATTCACCAGGAGACTGCTCTATCATTCAAAGCTCCAGGCTGGAGCTGCTCCCTCCCATGCTCACAACTTCCATGTCAGATCCTGGACATGCTCCACACCAGGGCTGTTGCTCAGGTGCAGGTCTGGAAGCAAAAGCTGGTAACTTTTAATTCTGTGGGAAGTTTTATAAGAAGATTCCCCTTTCCTCATTTAGCTGAGATCTCTCACCTGCCTCCATGCAGGACTGCCTCTAACAGTCACTGCCTTAGTGAGGAACTGTCTACATGAACCCCAGGAATGAGGAATTTCAGTGTGACTCTGCCATGTTCTGGTGGGCAAAGAGCCCCCAGCACCATGATTCTGCCTTACAAAGGATCT